TTTTTTTTTTTTTTATGCCAGGATGTTCATTTTCAGTGCACTAACCTTCTCCATTCCACGTTTCTCGTTTTTATACACTCACTGGGCACTTTTTTTTAGCTACACCTTGCAAGTACACGGTTGGGCCCCGTTTTGCCTTCAGAACTGCCTTAATTCTAGATTCCAGAAGGTGCTGGAAAGACTCCTCAGACACCTTGGTCCATACTGACGTGACAGAGCTGCAGTGAGTCCCAAAGATGGGGTCTGCTGGATTGAGATCTGCTGACTGCAGCGGTCATTGAAGTCTAGTGTTCAAGAAACATGGTGTGTTATCCTGCTGGAAGTAGCCATCACAAGACGGGCACACTGTGGTCATAAAGCACAGGTAGATTAGATGTTTGTGTTAACGAGCAGTTGAACAGGTGGACCAAATAAAGTGGCCGGTGAGTGTATATGAACAATATGCACTAAGAACATGAAAATCAATCAGGGGAGCGTTTGCCAAAAGCAACTACGTTCCGTTGTTACCAGTAGAATTCAATGGAACTAACCACCATAGTTAGCTAAGCATGCTTGTGGGAAACGCACCCCAGGCCGGCAAGTATAGAGGCAGTCTGATCTGTTGTGTCCGTTCCACCCCAGAGGACGCATCCATGTCTTCTGACGTGAACTGATAGGAGTGTGTGAGAAAAATACTAATATTTGAAGCTTTTGAAACTGAAGCATCAGACTCAGATTTAGCTGAAGGTCTTCATATGCAGCTCTGATGAAGAGCGTTTTACTCTTCAAAGAAAGAGAGAAGTGTTTGTAAGTGCATTATAGTGTATTTGATTAAGTATAAACACCCAAAAGCAGGGTGTTTCTCTGTGTGGGGAGTTTTTGAGATATCACAAGCCGTGTCGTCATGTGGAGCGCTCGAATGATTTGGACCATAACTGTCCTGGTGTTTGTGTTTGATCAGATGATTTTTCCTGTGGTGTTTTTAGGAGCGTCACGTGAGATCTGCTGAGACGCTCCTGCAGCTGAACACCAGACATCCAGCACTTCACCGCTTCATCTGACTGAATAGAATCGGTCATGAGCTGCGTCACAACTCAGATCTGTGTTGCAGTTTAACAATAGAAGGGTTCACGAATAAAGGAATGCAGAGTGTTGTCGTGCTGTTTCGATTTCTCACTTGAGTTCTGTTGGATTGTATTTTATGTTTGGTTGTTATCAGCCAATTGGAAAATCACTGAATGTTCAACTGTAATAATTAGATTTTTGTTCACTATTAAGAGAGTAACTGCACTAATGCCAGCTCTACATGTATTTATCAGTTCTTAGACAATAAATCAAATCTATTTCATGAAGGCAGGTGTTTGAAGTCTCCTGTATGGGAAGCAGCGGTGATGCTGTGAGTGTCCCGCACACAGACGCTAGCTGGTGCCGCGTGTGTGTGTGTGTGTGTGATTTGAATGCATAGCAGATTCATATTTTCTATATTTAATACAATCACAGCTGCGTGATTAGAACGTTCAGTGCGTCATATCATCAGCTACTAAATTCTGTGTTCGCTGGCTGGCGCTGAGCCGGAGCCAGACGCGTTTTTACAGCACTGCGCATTAACCAATCACACGCAATGCTGTTGAGCTTATGAGTGCAGTGACCAATCAGAGGCGTTCCTAAAATGCCGGTGTTTTCTTCACCCGCTCACTGACTGAATACCTCTTTCTGGCCAATTCTCCCATCAGAAACAACAAAATGCAAATGTGTGTACGAATCTGTAAGATATTAATTTCATAGCGTAAACAGCTTCAGTCCTTTTAATGGGAGTTTTTGAGAGTGCTTGAACTAGAGCAGGGGTGCCCAAACTCGGTCCTGGAGGGCCGGTGTCCTGCAGAGTTTAGCTCCAACCCCAATCAAACACACCTGAAGCAGCTAATCAAGCTCTTATAGGCATACTAGAAACTTACCAGCAGGTGTGTTGAGGCAAGTTGGAGCTAAACTCTACAGGACACCGGCCCTCTCTTTCTGTACAATGAAAGTGTTATGATTAGTAGCCTAACTTGCAATGTTTTTATTCACATTAAATATAAACTCAGTCGTATTAAAAATATGTTATGGCATGACAACCATATCTGTTAATTAAGTAAACACTAAACAGCAGTTTTTCATGTAAGGGATAATGTACATCCAGCCGGTTGTTATCTCAGAATAAACCCCGACAGGGTGAAGCGGAGGGGTCTTGTATCAGCCTGAAGGGGTTTAATCTGAGATAACAACCAGCTGGATGTACATTATCCCACTTATTACACGGCTAAAAAGATTTGTTTTTACCATATATGTTGAAATTAATGCTGAAGTCTTCCATTGTAACACGCGGTGGTTAAGTGTTTTCAGTCACAAGATGGCGCCAGACAGTCAACGATAGCGGAGTGACTCGTTAAGCATATAAGTAGTACCGGTCAAGATAAATTGACCAATCAGAATCAAGTATTCCACAGAGCCGTGTAATAAGCATAATTAATAGAATACATTATTAGGTTACTTTGACCATCGCCCACTATAGATCAACATAATCTATAAAGATGAGAATCAAGATATTTCATGATATAGTTAATGCGTTTGGGAATGTTTTGAATAAACAGGAAAAAATAAATAAAACGTGCTGTTGTGTGTCACATGACGACCCCCCCCCAACTCGTGCCCCTCAAAAATAATGAGTGCATGACGCCCCTGATTTCACTTAAAGGGTTAGTTCACCCAAAAATGAAAATTACCCCATGATTTACCCCTCAAAGCATCGTAGCTGTATATGACTGACGGCTTTCAGACGAATCCAGTCAGTTATATTAAAAATGTCCTGACTCTTCCAAGCTTTATGGCAGTGAATGGGGGTTGAGGCCTAAAAAAGTGCATCCATTCGTCATATAAAGTGCTCCACAAGTCATTCTGAAGCGAAGTGATGTGTTTGTGTAAGAAAAATATCCATATTTAAAACTTTATAAACTGT